TCATAAAGAACAATCATACACCAAGACTTCATTAGGAGATGCACAGGAGAGCAGCAAATCTGAACAAAAGATTCTTGGAGTCCAGTGGAATTTTGTAGAGAACAATCTTGTTTTTGACTTGAGGACAGTTGTTCGACTAGCTTCAGAGTAAAGACCGACTAAGAGGAACATTGCTGATGTGGCAGCAAAATTCTATGACCCAATCGGTTTTATATCACCAGTTGTCGTGCAGTTCAAACTTCTTTTCCAAGATCTTTGTTCGAGCGGAGCCGACTGAGACGACACGTTGGAAGGCCAATTAAGAATGAAGTGGGACAAGCTGGTTGCAAGTCTTCAGAAATCTCAGCCCCTTCGTCTTGAGAGATTCTATTTCAAAGAACCAGGGAATGAAATTGTCTGCTGCAATCTTCACGGATTTTGTGATGCTCTCTTAAAGGCATATGGCGCGGTTGTCTACCTCCAAGTTCATAGAGCCTTTCGCACTTATGTGAAGTTTGCCGCATCCAAGACAAGAGTAGCCCACTGAGTAGCCAAACAATCCCCAGATTGGAACTTTTAGCAGCAGTCATACTTGCGAGATTAGTCACAGCCGTTGAGGGGGCTCTGAAATGCGAAGTTCCTATCAAGAAGATTACTTTTTGGAGTGACTCTGAAGTAGCACTTTGCTGGATTAGAGGCATAGACGAAGAACGGAAACAGTTTGTACGAAGCAGAGTCAAAGAAATTAGAAGCCTTCTACTAGTGGAGAGTTGGAGGTACTGCCCCACAGACAGCAATCCTGCAGATGTCCCATCAAGAGGTATGAATTCATCTCAGCTCGCGGAAAACACACTCTGGGTGATGGGTCCTGAGTGGCTGAGCCATCGTGAGGAAGAGTCGAAGAGCATTGTCGTCACCGAGCGCATTCCTGAAGAATGTTTAACGGAAATGACAGTGAAAAATCGAGGGAACCTGAAATCTTTTACTCTTCTTGTGAACACTAATGACTCCAGCATTAGCTGTGTCATTGACATTAGCCGGTTCAGCAATCTTCAGCGACTACTACTTGTTACAGCCTATGTGTTGCGATTTCTTGAGAACCTAAAGGCAAGATTATCACCAGACAATGAACAGTTACTAATTGGTTCTGAAATTAGGGCAAAGGATATGGAGGTAGTAGAACAGTATTGGATCCTAGATGTACAGAAATCCTTGCAGCAGAATAAGAAATTTGAGAGTTGGAGGCGGGAGTTCAATCTTTTTATTGATCGTGTTGGCATTCTGAGGTGCGGAGGTAGGCTGTCGCATGCAGACCTTCCTTACTCGGCCAAGCATCCCATCCTCCTCGATGCAAATCGTGGATTTACAGCGTTGGCGATCAGAAATTGTCATGAGAGTGTAATGCATAATGGAGTGAAGGAAACTTTGACAGAGTTGCGATCCAAGTTTTGGCTGGCAAGAGGTGAAGAAATTACTACACAGTTGTGTAACATGTCGCCGACACGAGGGAAAACTTTATCAGGCACCACCACCACCACCCTTACCTGAATTTAGAGTGAAGAGTGGACCGGCCTTTACCTTTACTGGGTTAGACTACGCAGGCTCATTGTACGTTAAGGGAGCCAGTAAGAAGACAGAGGAAAAAGTGTGGATTTGCCTGTATACCGGCTGTGTTACAAGGTCAGTTCACCTTGACATAGTTCCAGACCTAACAGTGGAAGCCTTCCTTAGAATTTTTCGTAGATTTACAGCCAGGAGAGGATTGCCATTAAAGATTGTCTCGGACAATGGAAGTACCTTTAAATCTGTTTCTAGGCAGATAGCGGACTTGATGAAGAGTCCAGTTGTAAGACGGTACCTTGCAGAGAAGAAAGTCGAATGGTAACCTGGAGAAGGCCCCATGGTTGGGAGGTTTGTTTTAGAGAATGGTGAGGTCAGTGACACGGTGTATAAAGAAGACAATTAGAGGTGCTAGGCTCACATACGAGGAGCTGTTGACTGTCATCATTGAAACGGAGATGATACTGAACGGAAGACCGTTGTCCTATGTAACCTCTGCGGATGCTGAAGAGCCACTAACACCGTAACATTTACTTCATGGCGAGAGATTGATGAGTTTGATTGATACTTGCACCGGTGACTTGATGGATCCCGACTTTGAGCTGTCATCGACGGAATTAAGCAAGAAAATGAACCATCTCAGTAATGTGATGCGTAAGTGGAGAGATGAATACTTGATTCAGCTCAGGAATTTACACCGTCATTCTGCAAGGAACGCTGCACCAACACTTGTAAATGTAGGAGATATGCTAGTAGTACACGATGAGGATCTGTCCAGAGGTTTATGGAAGTTAGCCCGAGTGGAAAGTTTGGTGACTGGAACAGATGGAGTGGTCAGAGGTGCAACCATTAGAGTGAAGTCGAGAGGAAATAAGTCTAGCACCCTAAAGCGCCCACTCCAGTGTCTGTTCCCTTTGGAGATTCATGGTGGGGATGACAGTGTTCATGTGCGGGGTTGGACAAATTAACTTTGGACAGTAATTTCTAGTTTGTTGTTCTTAGTGTTGACCAGTCCATCGGTTAAGGTTGTTTAATGTAACTCAACTGGTCAACAGGTGGGGAGGGTGTTAGAACTCTTGTGAGCGTGACATTTGTTAGCGTGACCGGACGTGACGCACGTATATGCGCTAAGCCTTGTGGGCTATGCGAGACCTTGTGCTTCTGCTCTTTGAAAATCGATCCTTGCTTTTGTTCGCGTTGTTGTTAGTGCAGTCCCGAGTTTTAGAAGAATTAAAAGGTTGAAATTGAGCTGTCGAGTGGATCTTAACTACTTTCCAACAGTTTTGATATACTGATGCGCTGTCAGAGTAGCACCGACCCATCACGATGCACATCATTATCATTAGCATTGTACATACCCGATACTCGCTTGTGCGCGTTTTGTCAAAATTTTTCGATATCTTCCGCGCTCATTTTGTGCAACATCGAGATTTTTTGGATACTTACTATATTACGGAGGCAATTATAATATTGTTTCAAATTATTTGGGTTTCCCTGACATATCAGGCATGGGATTGGTTGAAGAAAATAGGTTGTCTACCCTTTTCGAAACACGTCCGTAAATTAAATTCCGCTTGGGATTTTCCTTTTGGCAAGAATGTGTTCGATTTGAAGTTTTCCCGATGCAGAGTTATTTTAATTTGGTTGAGCGATGAGGCCTTGTAAGCTGAAAGTCTTGGGAAAATGTCTTGTCCAATTTACATCCCTTCCGGAATTACCTGTCCTTTTAAAGCATGGTTGTGATCAGCCTTCATTTCAAACGATCTGCAACGACAGTTTACAAATTGTCTGTAGGCGAGAATATAATCATTTGGGAAAAAAAATAAGCATTTTGGTCGCAATCGACAAGGGTAGGCCTTTTTAATTACGGGAGAAAAGATAGCAGCTCCAGTACATATATGCATGGTTAAATTTCGCTTAAAATTATCACCTCAAATAGATTGCTTCCCGAAATTAAAAGTAACGAAAGAGACCTACAAAAAATCAGTAATTGATCCTAAGAACTCCGAGCATTGTAAGGCAAATAGTTCCTCTCCTCAAACTTCAGCTACGTAAATCGTGGTAAAAGCTTCGCCTGAGTATAATCCATTTTTCTATGGTCATATTACTAAAATCTTGTGCCCTCATCTCAACATTAAAAAGCTACTACCTCCTCTGGCAAATTCTTAAGTATATCTCCACTCTATGCTCCGCTAGCGCTCTTAGTTAATTTGGGGAGGATTTGTAGCAGAAACGGTTGGACAAATATAATAGTTTAGTCGAACCGAAGAAGCAAGCAGTATGAAAGGACCTTACTAGTGTCTCTTTTACATCTTGCCATAGTAATACACCGCGTTGCGCAGTGGACTGAAGGCTTCGCGCTAGGTACGAATGGCTCCCACCATGTTTTAAATATTTTGAGTTTTCAAACTGATCCAGGTCACTCACAAACTATTTAATGTCAATTTTCCTTGTACAGGTGATCGTGTGAAACTCGTTCTATAGTCAGGGTTGATACTCTTGTTGGTTGGTCACACAATGAAACGCTTGTATAATGAGGCAAATATTGTAAACAAAGAATCCCCCAATTAACAAGGACTAGATAGTTGGTCTTTACTGATCAATATTTTCCTTTCATCAATCGTGTGAGAGAATTATTTCAAAAGTTGGTATAACTGGTGAAACTTTGGAATCAGTTTTTATTTTACATACGACATTCATTCGAAAAGAGCGTGAGGTCAGAGAAGACCACAGATTGTCGGTACCTGCTTCCCAAATGCTGGAAATATCAGGTAAAGGTAGCCCAAGTTTTAAATAATTTTCTTTTCACATGGCTGAAATTCTCTAGTTACTAGCTCTGTATTTGCACCATTTGTTCCATACGGGCTAGTGAGAAAGGAAAGCCCTGCTGGAATTAAGGAATCAAACAAAAACAAAATAAACGTGAAGTTGAAATGTTATGGTTAGTTCTTGTGGCCGTGTGGTAATTGTATTTGGATAGTCAATAGCTTACTGACAATTCACTTCAACTTTGAAAGTTGCATTCTTAATTGTCCATGGTAAATGGCTGGCTTTCCCATTCAATTGTTGAGAAAGTTTCTGAAACATTACTAGTCGTTTCACCTTAAGTTAAGTAAAGAAAAAAGGAAACAATTGATAGTTCTCAGGAAGTTGTATGTCTACTTCCAGAACTTGCCCAACTAGAGGCTAATAAACTTTATTTTTATTTTGGAGAGGAAACAGACTGTCGAATTGGAAGTTTTGCAAAATTGATAATCATATAATTAAATCATTTAATATTTGCTCGGAGGCTCAAAATGCTTCTTATGCATAGCTAATAGGTGCTTATTGTTTATTTTTCTGATATTGGTCACATGTTAAAGTTGCCCTAAGCTTTTAATAGTGCATAGCGCGCACAAGTTAATGATTCATGGAAAGACGGATAAATTTATCAGATTTCCAAAAAGGTCATCACTGCTTTGCCAATACTCGGGTTGTTCATTTGAAGGATGGCTAAACTCTTCGTTTTCTTCCTTCTAACTTCCCTTTTCAAAAGAAGGTAATTATGTTTAAATGTGTATTTATGAAAAGTATATCCCTTTTCTTATGTATTACATGTAATAGCATAAGTCGACTGCAAAAGAGTTGTGTCGACAATTAATAGAGTGTAATATCAGAAAGGGTTTATTGACCAGTGTTTGAGAAATTTCAAATCGATTCTTTTCACCTAAAAGTTCTCCAGTTTATTTTTTGTTTTGTTTTGTCGTTGTTCTTTCTCCCTTTCTTCTTTTCTCTTTTAACGGGGGATGGGGGGGATAACCTACTGTATTTTTTGGGATTACCTAAAAATTGAAAATTGTAAAATGTTAAATGGTGAATTTTCTTTTAATATAAAAGCAAAATTGTTGCTTTGCAGCTTAAGCTCTGCCTCCTCATCCGTCGCTCCGAAAGATCTTGGAGATGCTTGCCAAAATATTTGGAACGCGGCTGCTGGAAGCAATCTGAGAGTTCCTTCAGAACTAACTGTTGACCTTGCCGGTAAAAATCCACTGTTTACTGTGGAAGGGAATGGAGTACCCAAAATTAATTCCCTGGAGTTTATTAGATTCAGAGGTAATTAATTTCTGTTAGAGTGACTTTACAAAGCATTTAGATAGAGTTCACTGGCAGGGGCGTAGCCAGAAAAATATCATGACTGAGGTAACATCTATGAAAAAAAATATGACTCAGGCAATTTCCATGATTTCATTCTCTTCCTAGGTATTTAGGGTGTTTACAGTGGCTATAAACAAAAAAAGAAAAACAATGACTGAGGCAAGTGTCTCGGTTTGTCCGTTATTAGCTACAGCTCTGAATAGGATGAAGCAGACAAAGGAGTGTGATAGATAAGGGGTTTGGATGTTTTGCTCTTCTCTAGATTTGAAAACAAGAAGTGACTCGGTCGTTATATGACAGTACATTCAATTGCTAGTGTAAAATACAACTTGTATTGGAAAATATATTATAGTTTATACAGCAACGAAATTAGAGAAGGACAATATCAAAATATAGCAAAACGAATACAGAAGGTGTTAAACAAAGGGACAGCCGTCTTACCAGTGAAATACATTATTATATGGCTCTGTCTCACAAGGACTGGGAACTACCAAATTCACGAATTTGATTGGCTGAAAGCGATATTGAAAGCGTTCTAGATTTCCCATCTAGACCGGCATCTAGACCGGTAATATTTTGCGGTGAAAAAGTTGCAAACTAAAATGTAAAATCATTGTCTATTTTCTTCTAACAATATATATTTATGGAAGTGCCAAAAGCCTGACGAGAAAAAAAAAGTAAAGAGGACGAGCAGCTCATGGCCGTTCGCAAGCAATATTTCAGCTAATGCAAACCAGTTGCAGTAAACGAGTTAAACTGTGCTTGTTTGCCATAGATTAGTCGGTCTGTATGGGAGAATTTGGCCTCGGACTTGTGTACAGACCTCACTGTGTTCGGTCTGTACTCATGCACGACCTCGGTCACGATTCTCCCATATAAATGGACGAGTTAATTATCATGATGAAGCTGTTTGTTTAGAAAACGTTTTTCCCGGTGAATATGTAGATGTTTTATTTATTATATAGACGCGAGTGTCCTACTTGAAATTAGACTACGAAGGGTCTCAATGGGGAGGGTCCCTTTGATGGTTGACGGTTAATTTTTCGGAATGACGTTTATAACACAAAATTAAAGCGAAAATTTGGCTGTAATTTTTCATACTTGGATTGCATTTTCTCGAGTTAAAAACAATTTTTTTTCTAACAAAAGAAAATAAAATTCATTTTTTCGCGCCGCCGTGTAATATCCTTCGCATCTTCGCTGAAAACCCGGCGAAATAAATCGATCGATCAAACCAATAAACAACATAATCGTTATTAATTAAATAAACCAAGTAAGATCTGTGATCGATGAGTAATCGATTATGAACTTTTTTTTGTGACTTCCCATCGTTAGTAAACTTTCATCCACAATTTTTTCATCGATTAATATTGACTGTCATCGATGTGTCATTGCAATAAAAAACTGCGCTAGAATCCCTAGATTTCTTTGTTTCCACCTATTTAGATATTTACGAAACGAATCCAAGATGTTTTCAATGGTTTCAATATTTAGTCTAATTAGTTTTCAAAGTGTTTCCCCAATGCAAGGAAGAATTTACTTTTCTTTCTCAAATTTGCTTAACACTTTTGATCTACCTACTGTTTCCCTTTGCCGAGTAGAACATTCTCTTGATTTCTTTGTTGACTTCCATTCTACTCAATGCTGCTAGCACCGTATGCTATCTGTGAAGTGAGTATTAGTAGGGGGGGGGGGGGGGTGCAATTACTAGTTTAGTCTTTACGATTAATCTTGAAGAAAAACTCAAATAAACTTTACCAAATAAACATATAAGACCAGCAACGGTTCGAAATAGACTCAGATATAAGACTGGGGAGAACTAAATAAATAATACGTTTTTCATGATGACTTAGGGTGCGTCCGTTTTGTAGCCAAACACCAGTGAAGCAAGTAACACAGCTGGGGGTTGTTACGAGGCTTCAGAAAAATTTAGAGCGATTTAGCATTGGTGCAAAGACAAAATAATCATTCTAGAATGATCTAAAATAGATTCTTATTCTGGATTAGGATCAATCTAAAGCAATTCTGATCTATTGTACTCTAGAACATTTGATTTTCTTCAGACCTTTGCATCGGCACTCTTGCGACCGAAGTTTACTCGAAGTTAGGTAGAAAGACAAAATTTTGTTTCCGTGTAGATTTTTTGTAGGATAACGATTAGGAAACTCGTCGTCATTTTCTTTATCTTTTTGTGACACAGAGCTACTGCAGGTCAACAACGAAGCACGTCAAGATGCATTTCTCAACGTGATAGTGCAACCAGGTGGACCTGTTGAACAAGCTTTGATTTATCTCAAAGCAAATGGTTTACTAGATGCGGAACAAGTATAGTCAATCCTCATTCGTTATGTAGCTAGAATCTTTGGTGTGGACCATGTAATGCCTTGAATAACTTTAGGCTTTTTGCAAGAAAAAAATGTCTTGATTTAGGCCCCGTCCACACGTATCCGGATATTTTTGAATCCGCAACTTTTTCTTTCCGGATTCAAAATTTTCCCCGTCCACACGTAGCGTATTCAAATCGGATTCGGACAGGTCCTTAGGCGAAACTTTTAATCGAATAATCTCTTTTTATTACTTTCTCAAACTCATTAATAATTCATCAAGTTTAAATAAAGGAAATCATGACCGTGACAGCCTTTGGATATCTGATCTTAATTAGCATGGATTTTTATGATTATATTTCTCCCCTTTCTCCTTAGTTTTAATTTCGATTGAGAAGATATATCAAACACTCAAGACAGTGTTTGACCACATCTCCCAACACCTCGAAGTCCGTCAAAAATACTCCGCTGCGCATCGTATTTTCAACTCTTTTTTCGGTGTTTGTAAATGTGGTCAAACACGGTCTTTCGTGTTTGATATATTACTTGAATTCTCAATTCTTCTTTTTGACGTATTTTTTTTAATCTCGATTCTTGCAAGCTTGTTTTGATTGGCAGAATCAATCCATTTCCTACTGTTCTCAAACGTTCTCGTACACTAATGTTACCAAAGAATGCAATGACACAGGTTTTTTTCAGTGCTTGAACGTGTATCTTTGTTATCCCTCACGGACCTGCAAGGGAGGAGAAAGGGGAGCGGGGACACAATTTTGAAACGAGGATTTATTCTGTGGTCTTCCTCTCCTCAATCCTCCTTTTTCCTTCTGGGTTCAATGGAGGGCCGCGCGTGTGATGACCTTGAAGTGCTTTTCAGAAATTGTGGGGATACTTTTTTGCGTCTTCTCTATTAGGATATTGCGGCCTTCAAGAATATTTTAAAAGAACTGTGGTTCCAACCTCCTAAAGGTAGCGAGAAAAAAGGCTTTGAGCATGTATTTATCGGTAAGTACCTCATGTTACTTGTGCTTGTCCATCACGAGGAAAAAAGGTTAATCATTTTGCCTTCAGCCACAATCTGAAGAAGCAAGCTGTGTTTCGTGGGCCCCTTTGTTTAACGGGCACTGTAGGATGCCCACGGGCGCGCAAGATCTTACTAAGTGATCAGTTTTAGCCACTGACGACAAGGAAAATTTAGCGGTAAATTATAACGAGCGACTGTTGTTGCCTGTTTTGCTAATCATTTTGCTAGTGTACTGATTGATTGCTTATCCACGATTAGCTGTCTCTGGAAAAGAAGACACGTGAGCCTTGTCTGTCCTTTAAGAATGTAATAATGAGTTGATGGACCTTATCACTATCCAGAATTTCAGCCATCTCATAGAGATAAACTCTCCAGAAAAGACGGCATCTTTTTTGGAGTGAGACAACCGAAATTCAGGCTAACAAGTTATAATTTAATCTTACTTTTTCCTAGGTGATATGGGAAAATTGGGAAAATCGTACGAGGGATTTCACAACTGGTTCATGTTCTACCAATTGCAGAATGCAGAGCCAAATCCAATAAGTAATGTTGTGGTGAACTCCCTGACGTATAACACACAGGTAAGCATTATCCGGAATTATCTGAATAGACCATTTTACAGTTGTCTGTTCATTGACCTGGCCTTTGAATGGCAGCGAGACTGCAGGTGACCTTGTTTTGATACAGACCTCACTGCTTTTGTTTTGTAAATCAAGTTGTTCTTATGCTCTGACTAGTTTGCATTTAAATGAGAAAAGCAGTGAGGTCTGTATCAAAGCAAGGTCACCTCCAGCCTCGCTTACATTCATAGGCCAGGTAACTAAGCACACAACTGTAAAATGGCCTATTGAATGTCTGACTGACCTTCGAACATGTGGTCTATGGAGACCTTTCGATTAGATGACGACTTCGAGGACGACATTGAGATTTTCTTCCTCGTCGGCAACAAGATTTCTTGCAAAAGTTGTCCTGAAGACGACGAATCTGCAAACTGTGAGTTTGACATAATTCTTTGACCTTATTTTTATGAACACTCAAACGTAAACTACATCTAGTATGGGAAAAATAGAACTCGTCATCGAATGTACAGCTCTCTTATACGAAACAGAACTGTGTAACCATTAAATTGATTTATATTCTAACCAACATACGACGCGACTTTGCAAAAGACTTATAACGTGTTATTCTTTGGAAAAAAGTGTCTCTCATTTGTAAGCGTACCCCAAAGACCAGCAAGTCGAAAGTTTTTCTACAGTGAGATTCTTTACAATTTTGTCCTTCCGGACAAGCAATTTTTTTAAAGAGAGCAATCGTGAAAAGTAAGGAACGTTT